TCGTAGCAGTTTGTTTGACAGAAACCGCGCTAACCGCCGATTGAGCCGCGACTTCACTAATTACCGGTACTGCTATTGCCTCGATGGGCAACAGTTCGACTGTTGATAGGGTGAGACTTGGTTGAGTGTCTGTTTCTTCAGAGCCAGTCTTCTGTCTTTTCGGTTGTTTTTCCTTGTTAGCCTTGGTACTTAAATCCATTCTGTTTAGTATTACAACAATTAACTTAATTGTTCACTTAATTGAAATCGATAGATAGTGTTAAAATGCTAACTTACTTTTACTTATCAAAGCAATGAGCTTTTATTGATGTGAGTTAACGGCTTTAATCAAAATTACTGGTTAAGTTGAGAATCCAACATAAACATCAGTATTAACAGTGAAAATAAGAATGATAGTGAAAACACCCGCAAACCAAGAATTAAAGTGAATAAAGTTTGACCCAAATGTTTATGTTTTGCTAGGGTGTTAACTGCGCTTTGCTCAAATTAAATATCATTTAGTACGCATGTCATAATCAACTGACGTCTGAATGGGAGTGTTGAGTATTAACTCGTAAGACAGCCCTTTTATAGGTCATAAACGTGTTCACACATTTCAAAGAATTGACACTATAATACAATAATAATAGTATAACAAAATGTTTTTGTATATAAGTTATAGTAAATACAAATTATATAAATGCTTGAAATAAGTTTATTTTGAATTCAATTACAATCAATTATACAGATTGCAGATTAATAAGAAACTACAGTATTCAAAGCTAATTTAACAAATCATTCAAAAAAAACAGTACATCATAAGAGAAAAATTTATAAAATATAAGGATATATTGATTAGAATATAGTCATTAAAGGTAAATCTCACAATAAAAACCAAATATGAAAATGTTTACTTTTCATTATATGAGGTGACCGAGGATTGAAGACCGTAGATGAGCAGGAGTGAATTCCCAGTCATTGTACTTAAACGGTTGTTTAGGGCCTCTCATATCAATTATTTCAATATTATCTTTATGAGTAGGTCTTGTCGGGTTAGTGTTTGTCCTTGCCAGAAAGAATTCTATCATACATCTAAGTTTAGTAAATGGACAATCAGGAAGAATGACCAATTTAATTTCCTCAATCCAATGCAGCTCAGCGATATAAGGAATTAGTTGCCTTTCGTGGTATAAAGACGAGTCAATAATTGCCACATTAGGCTGCAAGAAGCGAAGCAAACGCTGAAATTTTACAGCCAAATTAAACGGATTTTTGCCGATAAGAGTGTCTACAAGGTCCTTGTTGACTATAAGTTTACGAAGTAAGCCTTTCATTGGTCGACGCCATGTAGACGCGACCGCTCTTAACGCTGAAATTTTACAGCCAAATTAAACGGATTTTTGCCGATAAGAGTGTCTACAAGGTCCTTGTTGACTATAAGTTTCCGAAGTAAGCCTTTCATTGGTCGACGCCATGTAGACGCGACCGCTCTTAGACGAAGTTTGTCTGTGAATCTAAGACGAGCAAATATAGCCATTTGTGTTTTGTGATTGAAACGTTCAAAACTATCTCTTGTTTCTCTGGATAACAATGTTACCATTAGTTAGGGGTTGATAATAGGATCAAGTTATGAAGTGTCTTACCTTATTTTAACCAATTCAACGGTAATATTACCACCGTAGCGTAAACCGATGTCCACTGCACGATCAGACTTCGTTAACAGCATATTATTAAACCGAAATATAGCGGTACACTCTGTTTCTTTGAGTCTAGACACTATATGTTCCATAATAATAGACATGGGCTGAGTCGTACTGATGCCGAGAGCCAACATAGAGATCCGATCCCGTTTATGTATTATCACATCAATGATAATAGACTCCGCGCTTTCGTCGCCATCAGATCGAGGGGTAGGCGAAATGGTTCGCACAGGTAGATAGCATGGCCAGCCGTCATCGTCAGGATCGGCGCCACTAGGCCCGCTTATAGGGTCAGATCCAGTGGCGTTCGCAGCCATTATTATGTTATAAAGTTAAAAATCACAAAGGAATGTTAGTCGTTATAAGCGTTTCAATGCTGTGCTCAATGTAACAGAAAAATAAGCTTTGTTTGCAAAAGCAAACTTCTTTGCTTGAAGGTGACCTTAGCCAGACTAATTATTAATCAAAACAGGCTCCACCTGTATCACTCCGATCACGCGCATAATGAAGGGTAATTCAATGTCAATGCGAAAGAGTACAGTTTATTATAAATAAACTTTTAGATATAAAAATGACAGTTACTAACAATAACAAATAAAATCATAGTCTCTACAAAAACAGATCCTAATACCACACCCAAAATAAGTAAAACAACATAACAATGTTATGCTAATTAAGTTTATAGAAATAATGTAAGAAAGTAATAATATAGGGTTGCAAATAGTATATACTTTAAAATCCGATGCCATTATTAGTATCAATGCGATCAATTGATGGCCATTTTTCCGAAAGGCGAACGTGAATCTGATCCCCATCTTTAAACATTTGCTCGTAAACAGTGTCGCAATTCTTTAACTTCAGTCCATTACACATGAATACGGCCTCGTATTTGCAGTACTCAATATGATTTACAACATGGTTTATTATTCCGGCCATGTGCTGATCACGGGCCACTTTCAATGACCACTTGAACATAAGTTCGTGGGCAGTCTCGCCTATGATTATCAACTCCACGGAGTTACCAAATGTAGTCATAGGTTCAAGTGGTTTAATTGTGGTTGGATTCCATGATACTGTGGTATCTCCATCAATGGTTTGACTGTCCGGCTCTTGAATATCATTTGACGCCATCCTTAACACTGATTAAAAGAATAAACATTTAGTAAACAATCGATAAATCGTTTAGTAAAAATAAATAACTATTAGCACAATAGTACAATTAAGAGAAGCATACATACCAGTATAAAGTAAAGCTTTTCAATAGTTTTAATTGTTGATAATAGTTGATTACCAGATGATGTAAAAACTCACTACAATAAAAGCAAACAAAATTAATCGAAAGTTACAATTGAATTGAATGATAGCAGTATAATCAATAATATAATATACTATACAATGTGTGGAAATAACGAGTATACGATTGCCTGTAAACATAAACAATAGTAATGTTTTAAAACATATAGAAGTAAATAGCAAAGTACGAAAACAAACCTGTATAAGTGACGTAAGCACTACTTCCCTTTCCGCGTTACCGCCAGGTCAAAAAGCTGTCCTCTCTATAGAAAGTATTTGCTAAATAGTGAATACAAAAAGTGCTCAAATTGAAAAGTTGAAGCGTTTTTGCATTCAATGGGAAAACGCATACAAATAGCATTAAAAATCTTATACATTGAGAGTATGTGTATAGAAACAGGTATTTCTAAAGCAACTTTTACCATGACGTATATACAGTTTCATTGAATAAGCGCCTGAGGGGAATACCACAAGAACTGCAGTAACAGAACAAAAAAACAAAACAATACTTGTTTTGAAAATGCAATACATGGTGTCTATGGGAGAGTGTAATTAGGTTACGCTTTTAAACAAACGCGTTTTTTTTAATTATTATGAGTGGAATGCCATACGAAATACAAAATGGCAGTACATGATTGAGCGCTAACCTGTTTTCCATTGAATCCCATGTATTCACATATTATGTTTTAAAGTGCTTAGCTCTCCAAACTGAACACATTTAGCTTACAGTAATATACTATTATAAGTAAATATAAAAGCAAAGCTGTCCTCAAAGCTTGGCCTCGCGCTGTACCGAACTGAATTAAAGCAATTCGGTAAACATTTTTTTTCAATTACTGTCGTTATTATACTCAAAAGTTCTTAAATTTTTTGTGTATATTATAATCATATTGAGTATTAGTAATAATTAATCAATAAATAATTGTTGGCCCGCTTTACGTATTAACGTATGTCAATACATATAAGTAAGTTTTGACTATGATTTACAAACTATAACCGTTATGCTAATGATATAATATAACCAAAAGGATGACTCTCACGAAGAATGCCCACCGATATTTAGAGAGTAGGCCCCGACAGAGAGGCCTTACTCCCGTAAGATGTGTTGGGTTGCCCTCGCAAAAAGGACCAAATGCTGGGATACCATTCATCCCAATACCTAGTGTTGTTCTCACAAGAATAAACAACATACTACCCGCCATTAGTGTTAATGATGTCGGTGCAGACGATACAGGCCCTGTTGACTCTAGCGAACCATGTTCATCTGGTTCTGGGCCCTGTATTGTCATACCAGATACTGCAGGACCGACGCCACCAGTTCCCCATACATGTGTGGACATTAATGGCGTACGTCGTGTCCCGATGGGCAAGGGCAATGCCAAAACTCGGCTCAGGAAGGCGACGGTACCTAAGAGGCGTAGTGGAATCACTGTTCCACGGGTCCCGCCGCCACCCGAGACTGACCCGAGACGTAGCAAGCGCAAAAACCAAGTGCTGAAGGACATTAAGTACCTCCAGAAGACCACCCACACCCTTATTAAGAAGTTGCCGTTCCAGAGATTGGTCCGCGAAATCGCCCCACAGTTTATGGTCGGTGTCCGCTTCCAATCAGCGGCTATCGGTGCATTACAGGCCACTATTGAGGGCTACATAACAGACTTGTTTACCGACGCGGGCCTCCTAGCGAAACACGCGGGCCGAGTAACTGTTATGCCCAAGGATATCCAAGTGGCCCGACGATTAAATAACAATCAAAATCTATTGTATTGATTCCCGGGTCCCGGGCCCGTATGAGTTCTATCAATAAAAACTATTTGAACATGATTAAGTCTAAGTTAATATCATCGGTAATTTACAGGCCCGATCGGGTCCCGAGTAGGTCAGAAAATAGGTCAAAAAGTAGACCAAAAATAGGCCATAGTAGGCCAAAAGTAGGCGAAAATAGACCAAAAATAGGTCAAAATAGGTGAAAAATAGGTGAAATGACTTTACCTAAAATTCGAACACAAGTTCAATAAAGTAGGTGAGAAATTCTAGAAAAATTGCCGACAATTCTTAGCACTTAGAATCATTTAGAACAAAAAGTTCACTACTTTTGCAAATGTAATGTTTGAGTGAAATTAGTTAGTTTGCACTTTTTGAAGTGAAATCTTATGCTTTAACTTAATAGTGCGTTAATAAGGGAACATGAAAATACTACCTATATACGTTCAATGCAGTGTACAGCAAATAATTAAAGCAAGATTCTAGCAAATCCTATGTTTATTTAACTATATATAAAGCAAGTTCTCTTTTGCCAATTAACCTGTCATGAATTGTTGGGCTCCGACAACGCCTATAAAAGTAATAGCTTTGCTGACCTAAATCTTTTTGGGAACTGAATTGCTAATGTATGATTAACTCAAGTTGAGTATCTAACGGGCAGACGCCAAAAAGGGGTAGAACTAAAAGTTTATTTGGGTATTTTATTAGTATCTAACAAATTAATGTGAATGTGGTATGTTTGATAAGCGAGGATTTAATGAATAAGTTTGCCTTTACAAAGGTGTTGTTTTCTGTGTCCGTGCTATAAACTGTTGATGAAACGTTATGCAAAGACAATTGACGTCAATTGTGTAGTGTAGTGTAATGTAGTGTAACCATATCAAACCGTATAATATAAATCGCAATTAACGATATTGAGATCGAAGTTCAATACATTATTTAATAGTTACCACTGGACCTAATAGTTAAATTATATTATATTTGTAAAATAAAATTTATAACTTATATAAAACATTGTTTTTGTTTATCGACAGGTCCGTGTAACACAAATCTATTCGGTGTACACAAATAGTGACAGGTAAATAAACATTTATTTTTAATTTTAAATGTTAGTTACTAACANAATATTATTAACACATGTAATGTCATGAATACAATAACGAATGTGTAACTCAGGCTATAGCGATCGCACAGAGGTCAGATAAGCACTTGTGCGTGACCTATAATCTGAGGTATAACATTACAAACACAACGAGTTTTATGATCTAATCACCACATTATGTAATAATTGTTCGAACAAGTATAACAAACATGTTATATTAATTTTAGATGTATACATTGTTAAACAGAAAACCACATGTGTAAATAATTGTTAACGAAATCGTTTATAAAAACGATGACCAAGCTTATCTTATGTGAAGGGAATATCGCCGCGGCTAAGAGCACGTTTATACGTACTTGTATGAGTTTTAACGAGTTATATATGAAACTCTTTGATTGTCAATCTGAACCACTTGATTCATGGATGAACATGAACGGTCATGACCTATTGAAATTATATTATGACAACCCGAAGGCAAACGCCTTCCAGTTTGAAAGTTATGTCCTGTTGACCATGTATGATAACCATCAAATAACTTCTGACTTACCATATAAAATTTGTGAACGCAGTCTTTATAGCGCAAAACATGTATTCATTAATAACATGAGAGACACTAACATAATTAGTGATATAGAGTATAACATTTTAACCAAATTGTATACTAACCTCATTTCAATACCAACACAACCAAAAGTACATAAAATTATTTATTTTAAATCACCAAGCGATGTATTACTGCAAAGAATTAAAGAGAGAGGACGAGAAGCTGAACAAAATATCACGCGTAATTATCTAGATAACATAGAAACAAAATATACTGATTGGTTAAACACACAGACAGAAACGCCTGTTGTGACCATTGATACAAACCAAACCTTCAAAAACACCATCGCAACTTTTCAAACAGTCATTCAAGACTTAGTTACTGAAATGTCACTATGAATCCAAAGTTTCACAAACGATTTATAGAGCCACAAAAGTTTGATGCCTTCAGTACAGTACCATATAAATGGCTACCTGTTACCGATGATTCTCATGCATCGCCTCTTCTACCGAACGGTAGATTTAATAAAACTGACCCTAATGGTGCAAATAATAACTATATCAATGAACTGTTCATTGATACAAATACTAACTGTGAGATAACCACATTGTTTATCGACGAGAGATTTATAATCACTGGATCTATAAACGGACAAATTATGGTTTTCAATGTAATAAACAAACAATTACTATGGCTTTATATATTAGTCAACCCGATTAAGTCCATATTCAAGCCAAAAACCAGCGATAATTACCACTCAAGAGATCGTTTTGTGTTTATTTACGTCACCACAAAAACCGAAGTAACCACAATGTGTTTCCTTGATGGCCGACTTGCGGTCATCGACATTTTCGAAATAAAAACTAATGAAATAATTGGATTATATGAAACAAGCCTTGGACTTATAATCATAGACAACGAGATGTGTGTTTTCCGATTGACATCTGAAAGCGGCCTCGAGCAGATAGCATACTTTGGACATAAAATAGACAAAGCTATTCATCTTGACAACGAACAGTCAAATGGAACCGCTGTTTATTTTTGCGTTACGAAGAATAATCGAATAGCTGTTATTTGTATAACAGAGACCAGTGACCGAACCCTCAAGCTGCACACACTATTCAATACAACTATTGATCACAATAGCATGACAAGTATGACGGCCGCATCTGAATCGTTTGTATTCGTATCATTAGAGGACGACAAATCATGGTATCCTATACTCCGACTCGGACGAGATACACACTATTCAATACAACTATTGATCACAATAGCATGACAAGTATGACGGCCGCATCTGAATCGTTTGTATTCGTGTCATTAGAGGGCGACAAATCATGGTATCCTATACTCCGACTCGGACGAGATCGACAGACAGTTATAATTAATTTGTTTGACCACATCTCTACATGGCCTATTGTTGACCTCAAGGTGTTTGAAGAAAAGCTAATTGTTTGCCATGAGTTGAGTGTAATTGCTGTATATGATATAGACAATACAATGAGAAAAGTTACAATTGTCAAACTAAATGATAACCACACCATTAGATTGTTAAAAGCAACAAATAAATACGATCTCATCATTACTAGTGGACCTAATGGAGAAATTAACACTCAATCAATTCTTGCATCACCTGTCAATGCTTGCGAATTATGTGAACCTTATTTCAAGGCGGTTGTCATCGAAATAGAATCAGAATTTGAAGTCATCTACTCTTGTTATCACATACCGACAGATACAGAACCATGTCCTAATGTTTCCAATTTAGAAGTGGATGAAAATGACAGTTGTCAAACTGTGAATATTAAAACTTACATCAAATCACTTAAAAGCGAATCTGGAAATGCCTATATTGACACAATACCGAATGAAATAATACAAAAACTACTTTCCAAACTTGATTTTCAAAACGAATTTCGAATTTTGATAGATGTCGGTATTTGTACGAGAGCTGAACCGCTTTTGTCGTACTTGATAAACCGGCTAGTTTTTAGGTAATGTAAATATTTAGTATTCCGGCTATTTTACTACAAACTTCTAATACGTAAGCTTACCTGAGGTTTGAATGTCGTTTATTCTCTTAAAAACTGGGAACTTTCGTCTCAAACAATTAATGGTATTGCAATAAAATACCCTAACATTAGCAACTTATCACTTGTAAAATGTAGTGGAATTACACATGCCGATGTATTAAATTTGGTTTTAGCGTGTAAAAATATAACAGTTCTAAATCTAGAAGAAACAAAGTTAGATTTTGGCGTTATTGGAATATTTCTCGATAATCTTCCGTTAATTGAATTGAACATTTTAAAATGCAGGCATGGTGATGCTGGTTTCTTTTTAAAGAAACTTAAAACGTCTATGACGTCTTTAAAATTTGGATCAATTAAAGATTATGGTTTAATGATGGAGTTAGCAGGAATCAAAGAAAGCAGAGCAATCGATTTACAAGCTCTTGAAATCCACTCAGCTTTTCTTCACAAAATAGATATCGAACAACTAGTCGACACTTGCCCAATGATCACCGAATTATCACTGACATTTCATTCAATAGAGCCATTTAAATTAACCGCGCTAAACAACATGCCTAAACTGAAGAAGGTCTGTTTAATGGAATACTATTCTGGGATAGGAAATAAGTCGATTATAACAGACAAAAATATGACATCTTTCATCCAATCTCGATGCGACCTAATATCCTTAACGCTTGTTGGGAAAGATCATCCAATAGTTATTAGTGATAAATTAATTAAAACACTAATTACAAATTGTCAAAACCTAAAACAATTGCATCTTGAACATGCTTCAAAGATAACTAATAACTCCGATTTCTACAATAGTTTAAATGTTGTAAACTTTTGAAATTGTAATTATTCTGATGGTAATTATTGATTACGTCCTCATTAATTGATTTTTCTTAAACCAGAAATTAAGCAATCAAAACTTGGCGACCCTTCCAAATACCTTGACTACGATGCGATAAATAACATCACAGATTTTTCATTGATAAAATGTTGGAAAACAAATAATGGATCGCTCGATACACTGATTCGTTATGCACGCCAACGACAATCTGAAACCCACTGTAAAACAAAATGACCTGTGAGCACGCTTTGTTGTTTACCGACATATGGTTTGTTGGAATAAATGTTTGTTTGTTATGACCTTTGATTAACAATAATGATTACCTCATAAAATTAACTACTCTTAGACAATTGATTTCAATTGTAAATAATTTCCATTGTATTAACTATATTATACCAAACAACCTTATTTACAAACAAACAATACTGGAAACTAATTGTTATTACTAATGGAGTATTTTAATTGATCTCTTAGACAATTGATTTCAATTGTAAATAATTTCCATTGTATTAACTATAAAAACTTATTAAAATGCAAACAAATGCAAAAGAAATTATGAACAAAATCGAGTTAATTTATGAAGATTATATTAGTGTGAAAAAGATTTATAATTTATTACAAACAAAAATTCTAGACACCAAAAAGAAATTATTTGAAACTAAAATCGCTCATTGTAAAATACACACTATTATTGTATACCCAAACATAACTAAAGTAAAATTTTTAATGGATGAGTTTTGGTTGAACACTTTGCTGTTACATTATTCTAGTCAATTAGAGTTAATGAACAATAGAATGCCAATTCAAGAAAAGCAGTTGGAATCTATAACAGATTTGACCAATCAATTCTCGTCCGAGTCGGAGTATAGGATACCATGATTTGTCGCCCTCTAATGACACGAATACAAACGATTCAGATGCGGCCGTCATACTTGTCATGCTATTGTGATCAATAGTTGTATTGAATAGTGTGTTCAGCTTGAGGGTTCGGTCACTGGTCTCTGTTATACTAATAACAGCTATTCGATTATTCTTCGTAACGCAAAAATAAACAGCGGTTCCATTTGACTGTTCGTTGTCAAGATGAATAGCTTTGTCTATTTTATGTCCAAAGTATGCTATCTGCTTGAGGCCGCTTTCAGATGTCAATCGGAAAACACACATCTCGTTGTCTATGATTATAAGTCCAAGGCTTGTTTCATATAATCCAATTATTTCATTAGTCTTTATTTCGAAAATGTCGATGACCGCAAGTCGGCCATCAAGGAAACACATTGTGGTCACTTCGGTTTTTGTGGTGACGTAAATAAACACAAAATGATCTCGTGAGTGGTAATTATCGCTGGTTTTTGGCTTGAATATGGACTTAATCGGGTTGACCAATATATAAAGCCATAGTAATTGTTTGTTTATTACATTGAAAACCATAATTTGTCCGTTTATAGATCCAGTGATTATAAATCTCTCGTCGAGAAACAATGTGGTTATCTCACAGTTAGTATTTGTATCAATGAACAGTTCATTGATATAGTTATTATTTGCACCATTAGGGTCAGTTTTATTAAATCTACCGTTCGGTAGAAGAAGCGATGCATGAGAATCATCGGTAACAGGTAGCCATTTATATGGTACGGTACTGAAGGCATCAAACTTTTGTGGCTCTATAAATCGTTTGTGAAATTTTGGATTCATAGTGACATTTCAGTAACTAAGTCTTGAATGACTGTTTGAAAAGTGGCGATAGTATTTTTGAAAGTTTGATTTGTGTCAATAGTCACAATAGGCGTTTCACTTTGTGTGTTTAACCACTCATCGTATTTGGTCTCTATCTGATCTAGGTAGTCACGTGTGATCTTTTGTTCAGCCTTTCGGTTACGCTCTTTTATTCTTTGTAGTAACACATCGCTCGGTGACTTAAAATAGATAATTTTATGTATTTTTGGTTGTGTTGGCATTGATATGAGATTAGTATACAGTTTGGTTAAAATGTTATATTCAATATCACTAATTATGTTAGTGTCTCTCATGTTATTTATGAATACATGTTTTGCGCTATAAAGGCTGCGTTCAATAATTTTATATGGTAAGTCAGAAGTTATTTGATGGTTATCATACATCGTTAATAAGACATAAGTTTCAAACTGGAAGCCATTTGTTTTAGGGTTATCATAATATAGTTTTAATAAGTCATGTCCATTTAAGTCCCTCCATGAATTAAGTGGTTCGAATTGACAATCGAAGAGTTTCATATATAGATCATTAAAATTCATACATGTACGAATAAACGTACTCTTAGCCGCGGCGATATTCCCTTCACATAAGATAAGCTTGGTCATCGTTTTTATAAACGATTTCGTTAACAATTATTTACACATGTGGTTTTCTGTTTAACAATGTATACATCTTTAGTTAATATAACATGTTTGTTATACTTGTTCGAACAATTATTACATAATGTGGTGATTAGATCACAAAACTCGTTGTGTTTGTAATGTTATACCTCAGATTATAGGTCACGCACAAGTGCTTATCTGACCTCTGTGCGATCGCTATAGCCTGAGTTACACATTCGTTATTGTATTCATGACATTACATGTGTTCATTAAATCCTCGCTTATCCAACATACCACCTTCACATTAATTTGTTAGATACTAATAAAATACCCAAATAAACTTTTAGTTCTACCCCTTTTTGGCGTCTGCCCGTTAGATACTCAACTTAAGTTAATCATACATTAGCAATTCAGTTCCCAAAAAGATTTAGGTCAGCAAAGCTATTACTTTTATAGGCGTTGTCGGAGCCCAACAATTCATGACAGTTTAATTGGCAAAAGAGAACTTGCTTTATATATAGCTAAATAAACATAGGATTTGCTAGAATTTTGCTTTAATTATTTGTTGTACACTGCATTGAAAGTATATAGGTAGTATTTTCATGTTCCCGTATTAACGCACTATTAAGTTAAAGCATAAGATTTCACTTCAAAAAGTGCAAACTAACTAATTTCACTCAAACATTACTTTTGCAAAAGTAGTGAACTTTTTGTTCTAAATGATTCTAAGTGCTAAGAATTGTCGGCAATTTTTCTAGAATTTCTAACCTACTTTTTCGAACTCGTGTTCGAATTTTAGGTAAGGTCATTTGGCCTACTTTTTGGCCTATTTATGTCTATTTTTGGTCTATTTTGGTCTACTTTTGGCCTATTTTTGACCTACTTTTTGACCTATTATTTGACCTACTTCGGACCCGATCGGGCCTCAATATTACCGAGGCAATAAAGGTAGACTTAATCATGTTCAAATAGTTTTTATTAGCAAAACGCATAAGGGCCCGGGACCCGGGACTTAATACAAAAGGTTTTGGTTGGTGTTTAAACGGCGGGCCACCTGTATGTCCCTGGGCATTACAGTCACCCGGCCCGCATGTTTCGCTAGTAGACCCGCGTCGGTAAACAGGTCCGTTATGTAGCTCTCAATAGTGGCCTGCAAGGCACCGATAGCCGCTGATTGGAAGCGGACACCGACCATAAATTGTGGGGCGATTTCGCGGACCAATCTCTGGAACGGCAACTTTTTAATAAGAGTGTGGGTGGTCTTTTGGAGGTCCTTAATGTCCTTCAGGACTCGGTTTTTGCGCTTCTTGCGTCTCGGGTTAGTCTCGGGTGGCGGCGGGACCCGTGGAACAGTGATTCCACTACGTCTCTTAGGCATCGTCGCTTTTCTGAGCCGAGTTTTGGCCTTGCCTTTTCCTATAGGCACTCTGCGCACGCCATTAATGTCCACACAAGTATGGGGGACCGTGGGCGTCGGGCCTGCTATATCTGACAGAACGATACTCGGGCCAGCACTAGACGGACCGGCTATATTTGATTCCACGGGTTCCACCACTCCTACTACCTCACTAACTATACGGCCAGGTGTTATGGTTGCCGTTATGTTGTCTATTCTTGTTAGGACAACATTAGGTATTGGTATTACAGGTATTCCCGCATTTGGTCCGTTTGGCGAGGGAAACCCAACACATCTCACGGGAGTAAGGCCTCTCTGTCGGGGCCTACTCTCTACATATCGGTGGGCATTCTTAGTTAGGGTCATTCTTTAGATCAAATAATATCAATTAGAATAATCATTGTTTATAAATCATAATCAAAACTTACATGCGTTAATGCGTAATGTTGGTCAACAACTATTGATTAACTATCTGTTACTAATACTCAATATGATTAATAATGCACAAAAAAATTTGGGAAATTTTGAGTATAGTAATGACAGTAACTAAACTAAATTGTTTACCGAATTGATTTAATACAATTTAGTTAAACGCGAGGCCAACTTTTGAGGACAGCTTTACTTTTATCATTACTTATAATATAATATTATTGCAAACTAAATGTGTTCAGTTTGGAGAGTTAAGCATAATATGCGATTACATGGGTTTCAATGGGAAACTGGTTATTGTGTAGTTATTTGCTGCCATTTTATTTTCAAAGTGAAATTCCATTTATACACAAAAAAGTTGTTTATTAAGAAGAATAACCTAAATACACGCTTCCATAGAAGCAATGTATTGGCTTTTCAAACAAGTATTTGTTTATTTTTGTTTCGTTACTACAGCTTTAGTGGTATTCCCTTCAGGCGTTCATTCAATGACAGCATTACCTATACGTAATACTGCACTTTGAAACGGGTTTTTCCCATTACTTTTAATGCATAGATTTTTATTCATACATTTCTATGTGTTTTCTATTGAATGAGAAATCGCTCTAACTTTTAAAATTGAACACATTTTACATTCATTATTAAAGCAACTTTTTTGATTCGCAGGACAGCTTATCGACCTGGCGGTAACGCGGAAAGGGAAGCAGCGCTTACGTCACTAATACAAGTTTGTTTGTATACCTTTCCATTTATTTCTATATGATTTAAAACATTACTATTGTCTATATTTTACAGGCAAATATATACTCTATAGCTAATATATTATTGCTATAACAACAACACAGTATAGTATTTATTATTTATGATTGAATTGTTATTATTGTAATCACTTTTGTCTTAATTTATTGTTGTGTTGATTACTTTTTAACTATTTATCGTCTATTAATCAGCTGTTATCAACATATAACAACTATTCAACGACTTCATTCAACTGGTATTTATAACCCTTTTATTGTGTATTATTGTAGTTTAATTTTGGTGATTATTGTTAGTTATTTTTACTGACAAACCTATTAATTGTTTACTTATATTGTAGTGAGTTTGTTTTGAATCATCTGGATAACTATTAATCATCTATTAACAACTTTATTCTACTGGTATGTACTGCCTTGAAATGTATTATAATAATTTAATTGTTAGCACTAATTGTTAGTTACATTTACTAAATTATTTGTCAAGTATTTACTTAATGTCTAATCTTTCAAACAGTACCAAGAATGGCGTCAAATGATATACAAGAACCGGATAGTCAGACCACTGAGTTAGGTACCTCTGTATCATGGAATCCAACCACAATTAAGCCACTCGAACCTATGACTACCTTTGGAGACGCTGTGGAACTAATCATCATAGGCGAGACTGCCCACGAACTCATGTTTAAATGGTCTCTGAAAGTGGCCCGTGATCAACACATGGCCGGGATAATAAACCATATCGTTAATCATATTGAGTACTGCAAATACGAGGCCGTATTCACGTGTAATGGACTGAAGTTAAAGAATTGCGACACTGTTTACGAGCAAATGTTTAAAGATGGGGATGAGCTTCACGTTCGGCTCTCAGAAAAATGGCCATCAACTTATTGCATTGATACCAGTAATGGAGATAACGGCATGGGATTTTAAAGTGTATACTGTTTGCAAACCCTATATTATTACTATTTCGCTTTATTTCTATATACTTAATTTGCTTAACATTATTTTGTTTTACTT